ATAATGAATGTAATTGATGCGGTCAACATTCTTATTTATCACGATCTGTGGAATCAGACTTTCAAAACCAGAGGCGATGGGGTCAGCTAATTTATATTCGTTTGGCACTCCTCTGGGAACCCCGATGGCATCTATATAAGTGGGGTTGTGTGCTGGGAGCCAGTCTAATGCCTCTCGTTTAGTCCTAGTCATGGGATTGAGTAGTTGTGGTTTGACAATAGGCCTACTTGCAAGCAGCACATCGAAGTCTATCTCATATATGGAGGTAGAAATGATCAGAGTGACCAGTGCACAGCGACCTGTTGTGGGGAGTTTGTCACGCAGCGCCGACCCTCCACACCACCACCACAGGTCCGCCCTGGACACCGTTGTCACACCCTGTTTCCTGTGTATGGTTGTTTGACAGTACTTAGGGGACAACATAGTTTCTTTTGACTCACCGGGTGTGCCTCTGTCACCTATGATCAGGATACATGTGAAATTCATGAAAGCCACTTCGGAGTCAAACATGGGTGTCCCTGTGCTTGGGGGAATCACTGGAAAAGTTTCAGCATATTTCTTAAGGTCAATATCTAAAGCAGTCTGCGTCATTAGGTTGAGCACATCCACATTGTTGGGTAGTGGGGCGGGGACTACACGTACTGGGGGTCGTGGTCCCATGCACACTACACAATCTCTGGATTGTCGCTTTGCTGCTTGTTCTGCTCTATTAACAGCCAATTATTCTGATGGCCTGAAATGCCTGATGTGGTCCTGAACCATGTATCAGTGTTTGTTTCAATAATCACCGCTCCCCTTTTAGCGTAGATCAAGGTGGGAGATGGTATCAGTGTTTCTTTAGATCTATGGACTAGGAGGAAATACACCCCTCCTTTAGATTTGCGCCTCAAAAACCATTCTCTAACAGGGCGGTACCATGTATCTGGTTTATCAGGGTCAGCTTGGTAGTGTCCTGTAACAGTGTTATAGTGCACCCACAACCCCCCTTCTACAGCGGTGTACGGTACAGATGTGGGAGTACCTGGTGGAAACGACAGGGCACCCTGCCATTTAGATTCTACAACCCACTCGTCATGTTGGGTACACCCTGTGGGACGTCTTGCCTGGACATCGGACAGCACGCTACAGGGTATATATAGAGAAAAATTACCCTCAGGGGGTAAACAAAACCCTGGGTCCCTTGTCGCTCTTCTATACAGTTCAGTACATAGTTCTCCTGGGGTCTTCTGTGGCTGCTCTGGACCGTTGGCGACATTGTTGACTGGGGCTGTGAAGGTCAGCGTAGCCAGGCCTAGGACTAAGCCTATCAGAACCTGGATCGATCTCATCGTAGCCAGGCCTAGGACCAAACCTATAAGAACCTGGATCGATCTCATCGTAGCGGTTGTGTGTGTCACAGTACCGTTGTTGTTCACAGCTTACCAACGACGTCCTGCGTCTCTCTAGGCGTTCGGGTCAAGTTGGTCTCGGAGCTTGCAATGGGAGAGATGCACCCACGAGGTCCGTCCCTCAATCTTCACTGCCGTGGGGGTGGAGATGGTGACGACGTGTGGACCCTCCCACCGTGGGCTGTTCCAGGACTTCCTCTTTATCACTTTGATGAACACACAGTCCCCTGGTTTCACCCTTTCCTGTTGAGAGAATGGTTCGGCAGGCAATTTATGCACATTTTGAACTTCCCTGCTCTCAAACAGTTGTCTCATATATGTCACCAGGTCTGGACTAGTGTCCGGTCTGTCCTTTTCGGTCAATTGTAAGTCTGGAATAGTGAATGGTCTTCCATACAGGATCTCAAATGGAGACAAAGAGTTCTGGGTGGGTAAAATATGTAGATTAGTTTTTACAAGATCCACACATTGCGGCCACGTTCTTCCTGTGTCCTTAGTAGCTTTGGAGAGTTTATTCTTAATTGTTCCGTTTACTCTCTCTACCAGTCCTGCTGATTGAGGATGGTAGGCACAATGATTTTTCAATGTTATTCCCAAATGTTCACCTATGCGATGGATTACTTCATTAACAAAATGAGCACCACAGTCTGATCGTATAATCTGAGGAATCCCAAAGGTCGGTATTATGGTTTTACAGATGGCCTTAGCCACTGTTAGTGAGTCATTACTTGCCGTAGGGAACATTTCTACCCACTTGGAGAATGCATCGATGATTACTAAACAATACCGTAGTCCATTAGTTTTATTTAGTTCTATGTAGTCCATGTGTATTGTGTGAAACGGGTGTGGAGGCTCTGGGAACTTCCCTCTCTGTGGTCTCGCTGCTCCCTGGGAATTGTTTCGAATACATATCAAACATTGTTTACAAAAATTTTTTGAATATGTATTGTATCCTATTGTTGTGTAGTATTGGTTCACTAATGAAGTCATTCCCCCTGTTGACACATGGCAAGGACCATGAGTCAATTTACTAGCCCAATTAAACAGAGATTTAGGGAGCCATGGTTTTTTATCATCACCCACATAGAGTCCATTTTCTATCACACACCCTTTTGCTTTCCATGTAGCTTTTTCTGAGGTTGTTGCACTCTCCTGATACTGTTTCAGGATTTCATGCCTGTCACAATCATCTGGTACAGTCGGTTCAGTATTTACAATGTTTATGTAGGCTGCTTTCTTGGCTTCCAGATCTGCCAATCTATTTCCTAGGGAAACAGAGTCGTCATTTTTGGTATGCGCTGCACATTTGCATACAGCTATAGCTTTGGGCAATTTTATTGCCTCCAGCAGGTCAATTAGCAATTTCTTGTGTGTTACTGGTTTTCCTGAGGCCGTCTGGAAACCACGATTCGCCCATTGTTTACAGAATTGATGGACAGTACCAAAAGCATACTGAGAGTCTGTGTAAATGGTCACACTTTTACCTTGGAACAATTTACACGCTTCTATCAGCGCTACTAGTTCTGCAGCCTGTGCTGATAGATTGCTATTCAGACGTCCTGATTTTAGCAGCTTAGTTTGGTCTGTGATCGCGTAACCAACACGATTGTGATTCTGTGCATCTTTTGATGCTGATCCATCAATGTACACAGTTACTCCTTTAGTCAGTGGTAGGTCACTTAGGTCTGGTCGTGGTCTGACGTCTTCCATCGCCAGTTTATCACATTCATGTGGAGTCCCGTCCTGTTCAGTCGGCAACAGCGTGGATGGGTTCAGGACATTACATCTTATCACTGACAAATGTGGCTGTGATAACAGTGTAGTGGTACAACTCAAATGTCTAGATGGAGATAAGAATGCCATGTTTGTTTGTAACAACAGCATTGCTACTGCGTGAGGTACCATGAGAGTCAATGGGTGGAACAATACTACTTCAGCAGATGCGTGGACCGCCATTGCAGCCGCCACTACAGCCTGTACACACGGGGGCAATGCCCGTGCCACAGGGTCTAATTTAGTAGAGTAGTAAGCCACAGGTTTCAATCTAGTTCCATGTTTCTGTGTCAAGACTGAAGTCATGCATCCATCACGCACATCACATGTTTGTACAAATGGTTTGTCATAGTCTGGGAGCTGGAGCACAGAGGTCGACATTAGGGTCTGTTTTAATAAACAAAACGAGTCTAGAGCTTCTGTAGTCCAGGTCAGTTTGTCTCCCATATTCATGGGGGTGTCGTGGATCAATGCTTGTAGCGGTCTGGTAATTTTAGCATAGTCTGGGATCCACAGTCGACAGTAATTAGTCAGTCCCAGAAATGACATCATCTGTTTTTTCGTCTGTGGTTGTGGGGTACAATCAGTGTGTTATCTGGTCCGGTCCCCACAATTAGTCCCAAATTTGAAATTAAATCTCGTCCTAATAAATTGTGTGGACAATGTGGGGCTAACACCACGGGAAGCTCCACTTCCGAGTCTGGGTCGTCAGGGATCTCTATCTTACATGGCTTGCTCATCTTACACTCCACAGGTTTTCCACTTGCACCCATTACTCTAATGGTTTGTCGGGACACTGATATGTGTTTTATGTCTCTTAGTACAGTCATTTGTGCCCCTGAGTCCACAAGGAACAAAATAGGTGTCCCTTCAATCAATAATGTTATTTCAGGTCTCACTGCCCAGTCCTGGGGTGTGGAGGACAGATATAATTCCAATTCTTCTTCCTCCATTAGATGATCATTATCCCAATTTAGATTTGACTCTGAGGAATCACTGGACAATTCATCCCTTGTGGTTTCCACAGAGTCCCCCAATACCGGGAGTCATGCTTCACTGTCACTACTCTCCGCTGCTCTCTCTTCTCGCTTCTTTCCTTTAGACTTGTCTGGTTTCCCTCTCTTCTTGGGGCATTCAGCCATAAGATGTCCTGCCTTCCTGCATATAAAACACAGGCCTTTCTCCCAACATTCTTGCTTATCCTCGTCTTGTCCTAACTTTCTGTAATCTCTTTTCCTTGGTATCTACCCTTTCCCTTTCCGCTCCTCCTGGGTTTGTCCACTACAAATCTAAGAGTCTCTTGTTCCCCTGTATACATAATGGAGGTAGCTTTGCTGCGCTTTTTCTCCTTCTGCACTGTCTCTGCGTGTTTGGCATGGGCAAAGATGTCATCAAAACCCTTAGACTCATATCCCACACAATGCTTCACAATATGGTTGCGCTCCTCTACCCTGATGCCGTTTAAGAATACGGTCTTCAATTGCTGTTGATAAGCGCCTCGGGGCTCATCAGACGGCTGGAGTCCAGAATGCTGATCAAATAATGTTTTGAGTCTGGACTCATAATTCTCCATGGACTCATGTTCGCCCTGTTTACATTTGCTTATTATTGACCAATCTGCTCGTGCCGGCCACATGTTTCGCATTCTTGCAAAAACTCCGCCTGGGTCTGGTCCTGCGGCTGGCCTACTAAGCTCTTGTATCACCTCTTGGAAGTTTCTTACTGCTGGTTCTCCCTGGGCTGGAGCTGTCATGTGTTGGAAATGTGGTTCGAATTTATGCCACTTCATTTTGAAAAAATTTCTCAACATGTCTCGTGTTTCTGTTCCGTCTAACCGGAATGACAGAATCACAGAGGTGAGATCCTCGATAGCATGTTCTACATTATTTTCTACTTTCCTAATGCTATCTACAACCTCCTTCAGTTCCCCTGGAGTCCATGGCCGATGCACATATATCAATTGATCACCATCCTGTCTGGGATTGGGCAGGGGAATCATTGGGAACGCACTGCTATCCACATGATAGTAGGGACTGGCTACAAAGGGATTGTACGGACTAAAAACGTACGATCCCGTGGTTTGGTCACTGGGGGTTTTTGGGGCTGAGGCAGCTTTTTGCTCCTCCAAGAGTTTTGTTTGTGCACGTGTTCTGCCTCCTAGGGCATTACTCATGGTCAAATCGGCAAAATTTCTAGTTAAATCTTTAGTGGGGGGTAGGGTAGGATATAATCTTTCTTCAGTGAGGTCTGGGGACATATCACTACTAGAGGATATTTCACTGAATGACTGGGACTGTCTTGGTCCGGACTGGTAATATGGGGGGGGTGCCTCTGTCTTTAATGTCTTTGGTGTAGATGTGGTGGGTCTCCTCGGGGTGTTTACTGGACTCAACTCACCCTCCTCATCACTTTGATCTGCTACTAGTTCTGGCCGCCTTGCCCTCCCCTGACTGTGGCTGCCGTCACTATCCATCTGTCTGATTTGTTTGGTGGTGTAAATTTCTGCTTCCTTCTTCTGATCCTTTAAATATTGGTTATATCGATTATGCAGGGCTTTAGCAGAATACATCCAATTTCTGGCTGCAAGGGTTTGTTTTCCTGCATAATCTTTCCCTTTTTGTTTCAGTGCAGGTGTAACCCAGATATATTTTGATATACTTTTTAAGAAATATTTTAAGAATGATATTGTTCATGTAATTTAAAATATCATTACATTTAAAATCATGTTTTTACCTGTGAAATGAAATGTTTTGTCAAGTCTCGCAAGACTTGGGGCGAGACTTTGGGTCTGAGATTTGCGCGCCGCCATTTTGAATATAGCCGGCTGCTTAGCATTTGTGGTTAGGTGTGTGGGAGATGCTGCATTAAGAGCTGCTACAGGTAAACATTTACCCCTCTAACTCGCTACCTCTGCCAAATCAAAGATCAGTTCCTAAAACGTTGTCCTCCCAACCTTTTACAGATTCATGTGACCGCAAAGTTGTCTTTGCTGCGTATATGTGTGTGTGTGTGAAGAAGGAATCGGTGAGTGCAATGTTATTGTTATGCTAATGCTAACTGGCGCAAAATGCTATCCAGTGCTGGCATTTATTGCTATGTGAGATTTTTATTAAGCTAAATCAGCTAAACTATAAGTGTATGCCTCACTCTATGAATTGTGTTAAGGTACCTGTTTAATGTCGTAAATGAGTGAACTTTTACTGTCATGAACAACCCATGGTTATTTAATGTATTCACCTGGTAGATAAGGGAATATTTATGCATGCATATTTTGTACACAGGCCAGGCTTAGGAGACTGCTTATTGCCATTGGCGACTTGCCGTGAGAGTACTGCCAGCAGCCATCCTACAGTTACCTGTGTGTTTTGATCAGCCTTCACGTCTGCTGCGGTAGGACACGCTGTAGGCACTCGCTCTTTCCATCCACCGAGTTCACGCTCAGAGTCCGAGAGGGCCTCTTAGTCCCAAAAGGTAAACAGTTCTAGGATCCAGAGGGAAGGAAAATAGCTCCCCGGCCCAACCCTCGTAATGTAGGAGGTGGTGGGAGTGAGCGAGTGCCTACAGCGTGTCCTACCGCAGCAGACGTGAAGGCTGATCAAAACACACAGGTAACTGTAGGATGGCTGCTGGCAGTACTCTCACGGCAAGTCGCCAATGGCAATAAGCAGTCTCCTAAGCCTGGCCTGTGTACAAAATATGCATGCATAAATATTCCCTTATCTACCAGGTGAATACATTAAATTACATTATTACATTAAAAACATGATTTTAAATGTAATGATATTTTAAATTACATGAACAATATCATTCTTAAAATATTTCTTAAAAAGTATATCAAAATATATCTGGGTTACACATCTTTTAGAGTCAGATTCTGTAACAATTTTCCAATTTGGTCAATTTCAAATGTGGGTTGCCACCATTCATATCGTTTTTGCCATTTCTTTATGAACTGCACTGAATGGGGGAAACATTCCCTCATCCACAACTCTGCGTCCAGAGCACGTGGATCACAAGGAATCTCCTTCCTAGATTTTTGACTCTTCTCTTTCGACTTTGTTTTTACTACTGCTAACGTCACTCTCTTCCTCCCGGTCTCCTCCTCCCCACTAGAGTCCGAGTCGCAGACCGGAGGTTTCTCCTTCTTTCCATTACTGTTCTTTTTCATTGTTGTTTTCCCTGTCCTGGGTCAACCACGGACCGACTCTGTCTTGAGTCACTGTTCCCCTGCCTTGGGTCTCAGTTACGGTCCGTTGCACTCTGTCTTGAGTGACTTCTGCCCTGTCCTGGGTCTTACGGTCCGACTCTGTCTTGAGTCACTGTTTCCCCTGTCTTGGGTCAACTACGGTCAATTACACCCTGTCTTGAGTATAAAGGAACGCTCATGTGATTCTTCACAACGTGTGAACATTCACCACTCAAACAAAGCACACTCGCACCATTAAACCTGGTCCACAGCTAAGTCTGATCTTTCGCTCTAACATAAGAGTTGTTTCTGACCTTTTCGGCTGATGGTTGGTCTTACGCTGGGACCGTCCAGTCCTCAGCGCAGAGGACGATGAAGAGAGGTTGCCACGTGGAAAAGTGGGTTTTCCGGTGTTATCCGGGCCTGGCCAGGCTCTTGTCCAATCTCTTGTCGTCGCCCTCCACGTCCGAGTCCTGAATCCGGCTCGAAGGACCAATTTATGTCAGGAAATTATCACCAGGCACCGAGCGTAGTGACTGACATATCAGAGACCAAAAACCAAAACAGACCAAAAGTCCAGAAACTGGTTTCACCTCTAGAGGCCAACTCCTGTATCTACAAAATAACTCAGAGAGCACACTGTAGTTACAAGGTTTACGTGATCACGGGGGAAAACGCATCAAGCTCATCAGACTGCAAGCAGAGTGATGTTCCCGAAGCCTCTTTTCCGCATCACAGCTTTTATTTTACACAGAAAAGTAGGCGTGGTTACATTTTACACATTGCCATATATAGTTATGATAGTAAGTAGTTGGTGAGTTGGTGCGTCTTAGCGACCCCCCCCCAACTCAAGCGCAAGTAGTTTCAAATTAGCAGATGTGAAACCTTCCGTTGGTCCATCAGACAGGAAACTGTTGCAGACTGCTGCAACTGGCATCCTGTCTCCTCTGCACACACTTCATTTCCTGTTCTCTCTACACAACACTTTTATGAACATTTGGTTTTAAATCACAAATAGCAGTTTTGCTTATAAATGCACACATAAAACAAAATAAAACCTTAACATGAACCCTGGGTATTTTCCCACACTCTAGTTTACTCGCGGTGAATTTTTGAAGTCACTCGTTCAAATGAATGGAGCTCTCGCCAGCTAACGCATGCGCAGATGCGTTTTTTCACAATTTTCTTGTGGGCGGGACCACTCGCGGCCATTTTTTTTTTGGTCCATTTGTTTGAACGGCGGAGATAGGCGTGACTCTGTCCGTTAATATATACAGTCTATGGTTTGCTCACAAAACATGTCCATTCACAAAGGAGCAGATCGTAGGGATAATGATTGGTGTTTACCAAAACAGAACTTTATGGAACAGTTCAAGTTATTTCACATCTGGATAATAAAAAAAGACTACCCCCAGTAAATATGTAAACTGAAACTTTTACGAGTCATACCTCGACAGAGTGGGGGGACTAAGAGGGAGTCTGATTACCAATTTTCCTCAGTATGTAATGTTTTATTAGTCTACAAAGAGTCTATTGCTTGTTTTATGAATCAAAAACAAGGTTCAGACTGGAAGACTGGAAACTCTGTACAAACTCACTGCTCTCAGTTCTCCCCTTGTTGCTGCGCTGCTGCAGCAATCAGTCAGTCACACTCCGAGGGCAGCTCCACACTGGCAGTCCGTATCTCCCAGCATTTAAGAGCTACATTGAGTTTTCATATGAAGCAGAAAGCTTTAATTCATTCAGAAACTTGATTGCCAGACCAGCTCTTCAACCCTTTTCTGTGCTACCACCAGCAGAGTCTATAGGCCGAGGGGATTTCATCTCATAATCACTTTTTTCATTTCCCCTTTTACTTTGGCCATGCCGTGCTCTGTCACATTTCATATACAAAATGTAATACATTTTATTTTTGCATAAAAATATTTGCAGAATCTTATGTGCTCATTTATGTAGTATTTGTTTACTTTCCAACCAGTCCATATAATTCGAATTAAACCTTTTGTCTCTTAGAGTCTCTCCAGATGTGGTTATACGTGTTTCTTTTTCACTTTACCTTTTGCGATAGTTAAATAATAATATAAATATGGATTGCATATGAAATCATCTTTTCACACAACTGATAAGTATTAAAGTGAAGACGTCACGCCAACAGAACCTGTATTGGTGTCTGTATCGTCGTTTTTCTTTGAAAAAAAATAAAATAAAAACACAATCTACAGGGCCAGGGCCATAACACTACGCCCTAGCACTAATCTCAATGCTGACCTGAGGTACTTTAAATTACTACAAATCCACTCAAGGATCTTTGGTTGAAACCTCCTTGAGGATAAATAAGTAGATGGCATTTAAAAGGACACTTTCAAGTCTGTAACTGACTCTATCACCCTATTGCCTGTGGCTGCCTGATAAAAATCACTTAGGCCATTGATTTAAATGTAATCAGGTTAATGCTAGAGGTGACTTCTCCCGCTTAGCATTTTGCTTATTACACAGGCAAATAAACAAACCATTGATCACAATGCTCCCTGACACAAAACGTAGATTAGATGGAAGGAAGTTAGATAAGGTGCATGCTGGGATGTCAGCGAGTAACAACTGGCCTCCAAGGATTTCATTATGATGGCCATGCTTTCTAATCACCTCTGTAGTCACTTCAGCCAGATGCCAGCGACACTTATCGACTCAATGTTTATGTATCCCTTTTACATTGAATAACTCTGGTATTTTTGCTATATTTTCATCATGATTATACAAAACTTGCCCAATAGATTCTGCTTCTCCAATATTATAGATTAATTCACTTTGCTGTCTTAATTCTTGTACACCTAATACACAGGAAGCAAAATGGGCAATCATGCTGCTCCGAGACTTGCATAACACTGTTTAGCTTTATGTCAAGACTTTAACATAGATTTCTATAATGGCTCACGGCAAATGTACGATAAAATCTATACCCTTGTTTTTTTTTACAGACATTCACTTAAGTTTGCAGTGAAATAATATTATCATGGCAGTACTTTGGGATAGCACTGGGTTAAGTGCCGCTTTAGAAGTGGTTTCTGAGAGTCGTGCCCTGGCGCTGGAGAGAGGATGGCACTGAAACTGTCGAACAGATGCAGTTGAAGCGTTTGCGTTGGACAGGTGTCAGAGGCTCTCAGTGGGGGATGGGCACAGGGATGGTCTGCAGAGCTGCACATGTCACGTCTGTGTGGGGCCTTTCAATCTGCCACATCAGCCGGCTGCCACTGCCTTCAGAACACGGTTTTCCACCGCCAACTTTTACCTGAGATTTATCAGATTAAATGGCTGCACAGCTCTGGCTACAAGGTCTATTAGCGTCCAGTTGTTCTTGGCCTGCGATTGAGGCTTGAGCTCCAAAAACCTGAAAATGACCCAAAAATACTTTGTTATTTATGTAGAAAAATGAAGGGAACAGATAAATATTTCTGACTTTATTACCATTCTTTCTCAAATGTTAGTGCAAGGTCTGTATTTGAATAACACATTGAAACAGAGGTTTAAACCATGCAGGTCAAAAGATAGGCTCACAGGAAAATTGAGTGTGTCATGTTTTATGTCTTGCTTATACAAAGCAGCCATTAAGATCATGAAGGCAACTTTAGTTTTACCAATATAGTCATCTCTTAAACGTTTGGTTCAAACATAAACTGTACTTGTCACAATGTCTGGAAATAGGTGTACATTTCATTGGACATTAAAGTGATTGTTGTTTAATTTTCAAATTGCAGACTTTCTGAATGCAAGCACTGCTTATGGTCACCCCTATTCTTCCTAAATTGTATGAACATATTTGAACAGGTTAGTCCTTTCCCCATTTGTCTAACAATTATAATTCTGAAAATCTTACTGGTAGTAGTTTTTTCTGAAATTGTGAGACAGGCTTTAAGAGTTAAAATCATTTTCTGTATATACAAATACAACTAACATCTTTACATGTGTTCTTTTAAAATGAACTCCTTTGATTGTGTTGAGAGATGAATATCTTGTTTGGACTACTTTAATATCTCTCGTTGTGTGTTTTTGAAATTACGCACATTGCCACGTAGAAAAGTTATGTAACCTTGCACTCTTTCTGAAAATATACACCAATTGAATTGGGACCAGACCGCTGTGTTGGCTCTCATTCAACACTCTATATCTATATCAGAGTGTAAGCTCATGTCTGATGAAGGTCTTCAGCACTATCTACGATCGTATAGGGATCCAGTTGCTGTTTTAGCAATACCTGAAGCCGTCAAGAGCAAGATCTCATCAGATGTAGGTCCAGACATTTGAGAGATTTAAAAAAAAAGCTGAACAAGAACGCAGGAGAGAAAGTGGCAGAAAAATAGCAGTGAGGTGATGTGAATAGCAGTAGAAAGGTCGAGCTGGGTTGGTTACATTTTAGCGAGAAAGAACAAATGTGGACACATGCATCCAAACATTGCAAGCCGGACTTGGCCTCTTATGTTCATATTTTTTTAGTGACACTGTTAGGCCCTGGTGCCCCGCAAGTCCTGCTTATTTAAGGCCATGCTGTCCTGGCCGCCCTCGTTGCTGGGGTCCGAGATTGTCGTAGCCGGATATGGGTCTGGGTCTTTAGACACCTGTCACGTGTTCACATTAAGCAATTGCTGTAATAAGTAATAATCTGTAACATGCTAATGGCATTGTGGTTGTTTACTTTTAAAGTTAACTTTACTTCAATCTATCACAACCCAAACATCTCTGATAATATTTTAGTAATGGCTTTTAATGTAATTTATATCGATAGTACAGAGCCTGGAGGAAAGTGGGATCGCTATTGTTCAAGTTTTGAAAAGTCCTGCATCCTTTTGAAACCTGATCCCGACCTCCTATTGAAATACTTCGCCTCTAACTGAATGAACTGGATGAATCATTGTCCCCTGTTCCTAAAAGAGTACTTCCTCCAGTGGTGTATGTGGAGGACTGCAAAATAACGACAGTTACTGTAAAAGGGTTTTCTCATGATCATGTCTTGCATAATGACATTTGCTTTAAATCTAATATCTAATATAAAAAAATAGAACAGAAATTCTGTCCAAAATGGAGATGACCAACTACAGGCCTGTTCCCATCCTTTCTGTTGTGACTAAAATCCTGGATAATAGAACATCTGGAGTTAAACCACCTTCTTCATTCAACAATGAGTTATGACAAAAGGTACAGCAACTAATCGTTACTTGTTGAAAAAGATCAAGAGCTGTCAAGACAAAGGTGAAGTTATTGGTGTCTTTTTCTAGAGAATCTAGACCTTAAAAAGGCATTTGATACTGTGGATCATAGCATTGTATTGAAACAATCCAAGCCTTTCAAATTATCTTCTCAGTCACAATAATAGAGTCTGTCCATAGGACAACAATCAGTCGTGCACTGCACAAATCTGGCCTTGGAAGAGTGGCAAGAAGAAAGCCATTTCTCAAAGATATCCATAAAAAGTCTCGTTTTGGCCA